ACCTCCTGAGTAGATTACCGACACACACCTCTGTTCCTGGTTTATGGGGTGCTAAGGATGAGAACCCAGCCCCTTTTAGAACGAGGGCCAGGGCTGTAATTCAGTTGGTAGAGTGATTGTCTAGCATAAGTGAAGCCCTGAGTTTCACCTTAGTACTGCAAGGATAAACTGGGCTTCGTGGTACACTCCCTGTAACTCCAATTCTCTGGAGACACGGAAAGATGAGGAGTTCAAGGCCAGCCTCAGCTACATCTTGAATTTGAGGCCAGCCTGGGGTATATATTAAACTCCATCTCAAAAACAAAACGAATCAACAACAACAAGTTACTTGTTTATAATGGGGATAAGCAAGGCAACTGTGTCACACTACTTGGGGGTGTAATGGGGTGACACATGGTGACAGATGCCTGGTGCCTGGCACCATCAGGCCTGCTGCTTTGTCTCTCACAGATGGGTACCCCTTTGGGAAACCCCCCCTAATTATGAAGTTAGAGATCTGAATGGTCACATGGGGAAGAGGCACACACTCATTAGAGACTCAGGCACACAGCCTGGGCTACGTCACGAGTCTCTCATGCTGGCTTCCTGAAGACTGCAGGGCTCAGCAGAGAACATCTCCATCCTCCTGATGGCTGCTTCCATCTGCCAACTCCCGGGGAGTTGCTGTCTGGGGAGGGCCCACTCAGGAGTCCTCCTGTCCCCAGAGACGCCCGCCCCCGGGTCCTGCACCCCAGGCTTGTAATCTCTGCTTTAAAGGGGAGTCGGATCCCTTCCTCTTGCCCCCACCATGACTAATCCGTTTGCCAGGGCCCCGATCCAAAAGGAAGCTAATTAAAGAATTTCTGCTCTTGGCTCAGCCTGGACTTTGAAGATTCCTCTTGGTCTTCTTGGAGTTATCTGAAAACAGGTGGAGAAAGGGGGCATTGGATAAATCCCCAGAGCCTCTGTAATAGGCCTAATCTCCCCACAGCCTGCAGGCATCAAACAGTCCTCACCCAGTGCTGCTGAGGAAGGGGCAACGTGGGGCTGCTTCCCACCCATGGCCCAGACTCTAGTTCCCTTTGATCCCTGCTCTTGGAGACCAGGAATCTTTGCATTCCCCAGCAGCCTTGAGGAGGTAACGGGTAAAGACTGGGTGTTCTCCAGCGCAGTGAAGGCCTGAGATCCTCCTATACCTTCAGTCCTGGCATGAAGAGGTTCACTGCGATAATGGGCAGGGATGCCTGGTGAAGTTGGGGCCTATCTCCCCAATGCTCTTCTTCAGATCCTCCACAGGCCAGACTCTGACACATGATGGTACTTTTCTTTCTAGGGATTGAACTCAGGACTTTGCACATTTAGGCAAGTTCCTTCCTCTGAGCTACATCTCGAGCCTAGGGAGATTATTTATTGAAATTATTATTACTTTCGAGGTAGGATCTCACATAGCTTAGGCTAGCCTAGAATTCTGTATGTAGCCGAGGATGACCCCGAGTAGGATTACAGATGAGCACCTCCATTCCCAGTTTATCAGTCCGGGGGACAGAACCCAGGGCCTTGTGCATGCTGGGTAAGCTCTCTACCACCTGAGCTGCATCCCTTGCCCAAAGGCTCTCATTAGCCATTGGGAATATTTGTTGGACGCTTGTGGGTAGAAAGTGACCTCTATATGACACGGGGGCCCCTTGGCAGCTATGTGCTCTGTCCAAGCAGAGCCTGGTACACAACAGTTGTTCAGTAAAGACCAGCTGATCTTGTGGTTGGCTTAAGACAAGAGATTATCTCTGTTCTTATGTAGCTAATACTGCTGCTGCCTTCAGAAAACCTGAGGATGACTGGGACCTGCATGTGTGTGAGGGGTTCTTAGAATCTTCCTTTCCTTTCCGGTGGTACTGAGCCTTGGTGAGACCCTGGGGAAGGTCAGGGTATCTGCTGCCACTGTGGTCCTAGCCTCACCCCAGTTCCTACTCCTGTGCCAAGGTGGGGGAGATAGGAGGAACACTAAGGAAGGGTCTCTCGGGGTTTCTGCCTGCATCACGGAAATAAAAATGATAAAAACCTGTCACTGAATTCTGGGTGGCAGTAAATTACTTAACACCTGAAACAGGTTGAAATGTGGCCACCATGGCTTTTAATAAGCCCATCTCTGATGCAGCAGCTTCCGCAAGGAGCCGGCTGGGTCTCTTCTCAAGGCATAATTTCATCGCGGCCTCGGCTTGGCAGCGGTGCAAATAAGATTTCACTTCCCCTGTAAATCTCTGAGGGGGGAGCGCAAGATTTCATTTGCGCTGTCAGTTAGCGCTGAGAGAGCCTATTTACTTTGCTGCAGGACTAGAGGGTCCTTCAGAGAGGCCAGACACAGAGGCCAAGAGAGTGAGAGTGAGAGTGAGAGTGTGAGTGTGTGTGTGTGTGTGTGTGTGTGAGAGACTGTGTCACCACAGTGAGATGACATGGGTGGAAGAGGGCAGGAAGGTGGCAGGGGTGTGGGGTTCGGGGAGCAGTCTGTTTGGAGTGCTTGAAAGTGGGCCAGCACCATCCATACGTATGGTGTTTCAGGCACAGGGGAGCGGCCTCGGATGGGTTAGGGCCTTCCTAAATGGAGTGCTAGGGGTCCACTACAGGACATGGTTATGGGGCTGTGGCTTGGGGTGTTGGGGCGTTCATAGGTTTGGACACCACATGTTCAGGGTGCCTTGTGAGACCAAGCACCCCTCCTAAGAAATAGGGGCAAGAAAAGGGAAGGTTCCAGAATCTAGTAGGAGGATAAGGGCAGAAGACTTGGACTGGGCATTTTTAGTCTAGAGCTGGACCTAACAGTGGAGCAGGTTGTATCACACAGGTCCCTGGACTTAGCGTGCCCTCAGAAGCAAGGCAGCCATTCTGTTTTGTTTGTTGGTTTTTTTTTGAGACAGGGTTTCTCTGTATGGTCTTGGCTGCCCTGAAACTTCTCAGTAGACCAGGCTGGTCTTGAACTCAAGAGATCCACTTGCCTCCTGAGTGCTGGAATTAAAGGTGTGCACCGCCACCACGCAGTATGCCATTCTGTTCTTGGCAGGCATCAGGCCTTCCCCTCAGTGATAAGAGGTTCTGAGATGTCCTTGGGAAAGACGACGCCCGGGCTGCTTGGTTGGTGGTGACCACAGCCCTTTAGCCTCTGCTAGCTGCTGGTCTGGGAACAGTTTGAGGACACAACCTTCTGCCCTGGCTCGGGGAGCTTCGGGGTTTCACTTAGTTTGTAGTGTTGTCATAGGTGTGTGGAGGGTAAATGACCTTGTGGCAGAACTGTCCCCAAGGGAGGGAGGGGAGAAGAAGGCTGTGGTTACTGGGCCACTGGGATTGCTAACTGTTGTGCTTGAAGTCACTCATTTTCATGGGCTCGCTGGTCAGCGGGGACAGGTGGGTGATCGTTCACTGTGTGGGGCTGCTGTGTACTTGGACAGTGCTCCAGCTGAAGTGTCACTGTGCCGTGGAGTACTGTCGGCAGGCTGTGGGTTGGGGGCTCTCCTGAGTTGAGCCCTTCATGGTCCTCATGGAGAAGGGCTTGAGACAAGCCACAACCTGCCAAGAATTCTCCAAGGTGTAGCCAGGGGCTGGGCCAGCTTGGGCAGAGCCAGAGCCTTCCAGAAGAGACTAGAACTGAACTTGCTTTCCTGTCCTTGTCTCAGGTGGTGAATGGGGCCCAAACTCTCCACCTTTATCTGCAGAGACACCCTCAATGGGAACCCACTTCCCTATTAGATTCCTAGTTCCAGCCAGATGAGCCCCTTCCTCACTCCGGCAGAGTTCTCACCACACTGCTTCTAGGAAGGGAACACTGCATCCCTAGGCCTGGTACACAGTAGGCCCTCAATAACTGCCTTGACTGACTGGCTGGCCAGCCATTTTCTAGAAAGGTCCCACAGCAACCTCAGGAGAGAAAGAGGACACAGCTCTCCTAACACCCAAGCATCTCCCTAAAAGTTGGAACCTGTTCGCTTTGCTCTTGTCCCTAATGGTCACTTTGAGAGCTGTCCCATGGAACGACCCTCTTGACCGGCTCTTGCCCCCAGCACAACCGGGAGTGAGGTCTAAGGGGACAATGGGGATGGGAGAGACATCTAGGGGCCAGAGTACTCAAGGTCACCCCTGCGGGGGCTGCCAGTCATCAAGGCATGTGGAGAAAAAACTGCTTCTTGGAATATAAGGGGAAACTCATTAACCCCCACTGAGATGTGAGGGCAGATCTAAGGAGAGTAATGAGTTCCTGCTTTATCTTAAACTTAGCAGGAATTGCTGTTGTTCTCATGAAAGTAATTTTCTCTCTCCCCACCCAGGGGTGTGAGATGCACCCACGAAGCCCCTGGAGTTGTGAATGCGGTGGGCACACGCATGGAACAGGGGGCATTTGCAGGGGATGAACATGAGGTGGGGGACAAGGACGCATTCCCGAATGCCAGGACAGGTCTGTTCTTATCTGGGTGCCCACACGGTTGCTGGAGCCTCTTAGGGGATAATCCTCAGCTTTTGCTAATAGCTCTCCACGTGAAGACCCCTCCGCATCTGCATGTGGTGCAGGGCTGCCCTGCATGGCTGACTTAAGAAGCTTCTGCCATCAGCTCGTCCCCCTTGTTCCAAGCCCCCTTTCTTACTCATCACAGAATCCTTTTAGTCGTTCTGTTTTGGCTGGTTTTTTTCCCCTTCTTTCCTCCCTTCCTTTTTGTGACAAGGTCCAGGCTGTCCTCAGACTCACTATGTAGCCACTGATAGCCCTGAACTCCTGATCTCCCTGCTTCCATTTCCCAAGTGCTGGGACTACAGGTGTGCACCACCCACCATCCCTGACTCTGCAGCAGACTCTGAATGTTCGCTTCTGCCCAGGAAACTTGTTAAACCCAGTCTACCCTGTCTGGCTGCTACTCTGTGTCAGTAGACCCCAACAGCAGAGCCTCTCCCACCCGCCCCAAATAAGGCCTGAGAGGAGAATCCCAGACAACTGGCTCCTGCTGGGCTGTGGAGTCCAGAGTCAGCAGCCGAGATGACTGTAAAAGTTAAACTTTTCTATTTATTTCAAGAAAGGACAAGGCAGGTGGACTTGGACATTTTATATGAAACAGACAAACAGAAAATAGGACCAAGTAGTTAGTCACATTCATCTCAACATTGAAGTTTCAAGGCACCTACATTGAAGGAGGCCAAAGGGCGGTTCAGAGTGCACTTTGGTTTGTGTTGTCGTCGTGGTGGTGGGGTATTTGTGTCGCCGTTTTCTGAAAATTCCCTGACTGGTGGTAGAGTCGTGGGCCACGAGGCCGGGCATAGCCAGGCCTCCCAGGGAGCAGGGTCTCGTCTGCCTGCTAGTTCCCAGACTGCAGCCACCACAGGAGGGGCATTCCTATCCCTCAGACCCGAGACTGCTCTGACCTTCAGAGAAAAAGAAAACAGAGGAGACAGCAGCCAAGGGGCCCTGAGACTGTGGCTGAGACAGGCCATGGGTTCGGGAAACTGGTGGTTCAGGGTCTGCCTTGTTGCAGTGGGCTGAGCAGACATCCTACCTTCTTTAGCAGAGCCCATCCATTCCTCAGAGGCTGACCATGGGTCCCCTCAGAACCAGGGATCAGATTATACTTTCTGATATCTGTTTCAGTTTACTTGGCAATACCAACAAGCACCCTTTGCTCCTAGGATGCCACTGGGAAGATGACTCTGCCAAAACCTCCACTCTGCAGCCCTTACATGGGGATGGGGGTCCTTCGGGCAACCTGTGCCTTTGGCATCCCTGCTCATACCTGCTGGTGTCCTTAGCCAGCACAAGCACAGGTCTCCTCAGTCTGGTTGGTGGCCTCTCAGCCTCCAGTACCTCCTCGGCCTTTTTGTCTCAGATGACAAGCCTCCAGCAGTGGGCCCATGGTTTCCTTCCCACCAGCCTCTCTGGAGGGCTGGCAGACACCTTATTCACACTATACCCTGGATGCCCAAGTGGCTTCTTGGTTGAGGCCATTCTCAGGGGGTCATGCTGGGGTGGGGGAAAATACCTAAGGCTACTTTGGGGTTTTGTGTGTAGGGTTTCCCCACCGTGTGGCCACAGCCTTCAGAGATGGAACGCGTCACAGGAGGGGTAGGGGTGGAGGACCTGCCACCTTGCCTTCCATCCAAGGCAGGTTGGGAGCTGTTTGGAACCGTGGGCCCCTGGGAGAATGAGCAGTGGCAGCCTGGGGCCTGCTGCGGCTTTGATTGTCGGTTCACGGCGTGCTTGTTTTTCTGTCTTGAAGAGAAAGTCTGATTAGTTCCTCCAGGCGGGTGGCTGGGGTGCGGGGACTCTCTGCAGGGGTGGCAGGCAAGGCAGGCTGTTGCCTTGGATCTTGTTTCTTGTACCACCCCCTGGGCCTCTAGTTTTCTGCCAATCTCCGGCACCCACTTGATGCAAATCTTGGAGAAGGGAAACTGAGTCACCTATTCTGGCTGTGGTTGCTGCCAGATCTTGTTGAATCTTCATTTCCCATCTGCTGGAGATGCACCAACCCTGAAGCAAAGCAGGGTGGGATGCTTCTGGGAGAAGTTACCCGATGAGCCCCTCTCCTCGCCAGGACAGAGGCAGCCCCTCAGTGCCAACCCCTGGGCCTTTCCCATGACTAGATAGACAGGTGGGGAGAGAGGGTGGGAAAGGTGTTCCAGGACCCCTGCTGGTCCACAGTGGCCTTAGGTGCCCCGGTACGGGAACCAAACTGCTGATGACATGACTCTGATGGCTGCAGCATCTTGGGAGCGGGACTGTATGAAATGGGAGCTGACCCACCCACCCACCAGGATCGCTGCCCACCACATAGCCACATTTCTTTCCTGACACAAGCTGGACAATGCAGCAGTAAGGAACTGTGACAGTGGTTTCAGAGAACCCAGGGTGGCTTCCGGAAGCAGGAGCAGCCCCAGGCTACAGAGTTGCCTAGACACGGGTCAGGAGTCATGAAGAGAGCTGGTGTCCTACCCCTATACGGCACACCCTGAAAGCCCCATTATGATGAGAAAATGGGAGTGACCCCAGGGACAATGTCATTCCCCAATTCAGAGAAAAAAACATACATTAAAATCTGAAAGAGGTAGAGGCAGGAGGATCAGAAATCTATGGTCATTGTCAGCTACATAGAGGGTTTGAGACCAGCCTAGAGCTATGTGAGACCCTGTCTCAAAAAAAAAAAAAAAAAAAAAGAAATCAAAGGAGGTAGCATCGGAGGATCAGAGGTTCAGTGGCAGACTCAAAATATTAGGGGTGGGGGTAGGGAGGAGAAAAAGAAAAAAAATTGAAGGCTAGGAAGAGAGCAAAGGGACTCTTTCTGTCAGTTGTTTTTAAAGACGCCAGTGTGGATATTTCATACAAATAGCTGGAACACTTCAAAAGAATCGGCAAATGCCTAAAAACTGGCGAGTGTTGGAACAGAGCCCCAGGCGCCGTCAGCTGACTGTGATGGGTGGACAGGCTGGCAGTGTTGAGCCTGTTGGTTACTCCTGGTGTCAGGCAGCTGGGCTTGAGGGAACAAGTCCAGGGACATCCTAGGGCTGGGAGTACCGAGCTAAGCAGGTGTCCTGTCCGCACCCCCCCACTACCTGCTGAGCACAGCCTGGGAAAAGAGGTCTGTGTGGCCTGGCCCGGGGGAACCAGATCCTTCTAGACAAAGACCTAGACCTTAGTTCAGGCTGGAAGGTTTACTGTCACCTCCTCTGATAATGCTTGCATATATCATGGGGCAGAGAGCTCGCTGACTGCCTCCTTTGCTGGGCCCAAGTTTCTCTCTCCTGGCCTTCAGTTCTCTCTTTCCTCAATCTCTCTCTGAGCCCAGAAAGCAAGAGGCTCCTAGGGTAGGGATATAAGACATCCCACGGCTCTGGAGTCTTACTATGTAAGTGCAGCACATCTGATGCAGATGTGTCTTGCCATCTCTCAAGGCAGACTGAGCCTAGGTGACAGGGTCACAGTCCGCCCAAGGACTGGCACAGCTGCTGGATGGCCTGTCTCAGCAACATGACCCTTTCTGTCCCCGTAGCCCTGGCAAGAGCTCTTCAATCTGAGCAGTCCTTAGAGAGACCAGCTCCTCAGGGTTCTGGGCAGGAACAGCTGCTACCCCTCCCACGCAGGCCTGGAAAATGCCTGCTGTGTGGGCGACCACTTGGGGCAGGTTCATAACCCACAAAAAATTCCCCCTTTCCCTTCACCTCCAAGGAATTTAATCTCTTCTAATCAATTTAGCAGACTCACTTGGTTGTAAACGGTAATGATTTGCATTTTTGAGCCTTTTTATCCTCCTTACAAAAAAAAAAAAAAAAGCCGCCTCTCTCTGCTCTCTGGAAAGCCTGTGAATTGCTTGTTAGTGCTCACCCTGGCACCCATCCAGCCTCGACATCAGCTGCTGTCACCTGCGCCACTGTCTGTGTGAGTATGGAACGTGGCTCTTGGAGGCCCGCAGCCCTGACCCTGGCCGTGACATGTCATCTGGCCCTTGGGGGACACAGGCCGCCATGCCCATCGGAGCCCATTCCTGCTGCCTCTGCATAGCTCCCCAGCTGCTACATCCAATTTTCCTTGTTGTATTTTTCATAAGCAAGAGGCTCTGAAGCCCCGGCCTCCTCCTTGGTGTGCTCAGTGGAAATCAGATGTCTGAAGAAGGCTGGCTTTGGGACTTCAGCTGCCACTTGTAGGGGGTTGGGTGGGAAGAGTCCCGAGTGAGTATGGCTCTGACTTTTGTTCCTTACTTCCCTTGCCAGTGGCAATGAAGGAGGAGGCTCAGGCTGGGAGGCTATTCCAGACACTGCCCATCCCTTCTACACTCCACACAGGCCCTTCCTACCCAGCAGTGTTTCCTCACTGTCTTGAGCCCATTAGAACCTTCCAGCCTCAGCATGGAGGGGTTGCTCTCACAGGGCCGTCCATGAAGCAAGACTCTACCCAGTCACCCTCATTTTAAAGTGGGGAGATGGAAGCCTCGAATTTTCATGACATGCTCCTGGCTCTCTTGCTGGGGGGCTGAGCTGGGTAGCTGACCCATTGGAAACCTGGGAAAAGGGCTCTGAGAGACTCCACGCCCACTGACAATGAAGGAGAGGCATGACAGCATGGAACAGGGATGGGCTTCTGGCTCCAAGAAGGGAAGGTTGGTTTCCTCCTAGCCACAGTTGTCTTCCCAAGGCTGTCACCTCCCCTGCCAGCATTGCACCTGCTCTCCAAGGCAGGATCCCCCACACAGGGCCACAGCAGGGCTCCAGTTAAGGAGGCAGCAGGCCAGGAGGCAGCCTTTCTGAAAGATGGAGGCTTCCTCAGGAAGAGGATGCAGATGAGGGAGGAAAGGGAGCTTTTGATTCACATCATGTCTGTGGAATTGAGTATGACTAATTAATAGATTTTATTCTTAGTAATCTCTTAAGCATTCCATACGTTGGGCCCCACGCCTGAGCTGAGCCTACCAGAGGCTTCATTCGCAAAATGCAAATGCCTGTAGCCCTGCTGCCTCCTTCCTTGTCTTTTCTCCCATTTTTTAAAGAAGAAATTTAAAGTAAAATTGCCATGTAATAGAAAAAAAGATTCCAATCACTGCATCTAATTACCACGAAGGGTAAACCACTTAACCAAAGAAGTGTCACTGGCATTTTTTTTTTAGTTTAAATTTGCCTTAAATGCCACAGAATACACTCCTCAGGGCTGAGGCCCCTGAGGTGGCTGTTGCCGGTGAGAGACTGTGAGGGTCAGGCTGGCCCGCCACTGAGACAGAATCCCCATGGGCCTTCCAGTGTCAACCACAGCTTCCCTCAGCCTCTTCTACTGAAACGTGAGACCAGAAGCCAGACTCTCTGCCTCCTTTAGAGAGCTGGGACAAAGGTTACACTTGGGGCCTTCTGCAAGGACACTGGGGAGTGGGTACTAGAGGTCTAGCTCAGTGCTAGAGTGCTTGCCTTGCATGACAGGCCCTGAGTTCCAATTCCAGTGTTCCACCATTCCCACACACAGCATAAAGGGTACCGGAAAACACTAAACCGCAAAGGGGCAGAAATGACACAGGAAGGGCTCTTAGGAGCTGCAGGGTCATGACTGAGCATTTAGTGTCCCTTAGAGGGCAATGCCAGCCCTGGGCTCTCCAACTGGGTGTAACATGGAGTCAGCCCCAACAGAGCAGGAGGCTGACTTGGTCCTCAAGCTTTGACATTCTGCCTGTGACTACCGAGGCTCCTGTGGGTCAGGTTTACTCTGTGTGATGGGGAGGAAGTTTACCACGGCCAGGCAGCTCTAGCATCTGGCCCACAAGTTCCTGAATCTCCAAGTAGGGCTTTCCAGGCAGCTGCACGGTTCTTAAAAGTTTTCCTGGCCACCAAAGAAAGTGACTAAAACCTTCTGTGGCAGGGAATAGATAAGGAAAACATGGGTGAATCTAGGGCACTGAGCAAGGTGGGGGTAGGGACTTGGGGTTTTACTTTCCTGGGGCTCTGGAAAAGGTTGACATAGTGCCCTTGATGCCTTGTTCAGCATCTGGGACTCTCCGCCGGTCTGCCTAAGCTGCCATGACTAGGGTGCTATCATTATGGCCACTGGGGACAGCTGGGCTCCAGGGCATGTATTTATACAGACCTGAATCTGAGGCTCGGGAACATTTCTCTCTTGACCTCATGTGGGAAAATGACTTGGAATGAAGAGGGAAGAAAGGTCTCCTTTGGAATGATCCATGTCCATACCCTTTGGCCGTTCCCTGGGGCTGGTGGGTTGGGGTCTCCATTTGGTATGATGACCTCTTGGGCTCTGATCAGGAGCCTGTGCCTCTTCCTACCACTCTGGGGCACCTGCTGGGTCCGTCTCTTTCAATCTCATCTCTTCACTGAAGGGCCAGTTGACTCTTTAATGTCCAGCAAGAAGATGGCCCCCCAGGGACACTTCGGACAGCTTCCTGGCCGCTTCTTCCTGCCTTTGCTTTGGACAGAGTGACAGAGGTCTTTTGAAAACATCACTGTCAGGAGCTCGACCCCTTCTCATCCGGCTGCCCTCAGACCAGCGTCTTCCTTTGATGACTTTTTCTCCCCAGTGCAGGGCAAAGCGACACACGACAGAGGGTGACCCGGGCTCCCCGAGTACAGGACGAAGCAGACATCAGAACCGCAGGCACCGCTCTTCCCTCCTTTCTGGATCTGCTGTCATTATTTTATCATCGTTTTAATCTCATGGCTCACCACACTGTGGTGTCACTTGATAAATGATAACGACATTGATTCCACAGGGAGGGAGTAAAATCTTAGTTCTTCTGAGGACCCGGTCAGTACCCTTTTGGAGGCTGATGTTTTTTACAAAGAAATCTGATTTTTCCCTCTTGAGAACAGAGCCCCTGGTGTGGGCATGGCTGAGATTTGTGTGTGTGTGTGTGTGTGTGTGTGTGTGTGTGTGTGTGTGTGTGTGTGTGTCTCCCAGGGATTTTCTGAAAAAAATGTTTTTTTTTTCCTTTTTTCTGGGCTTTGTTTGAGCAGTCATGGAAACCAATAGGTCTAGCCATCTGACGTGTGTGTGTGTGTGTGTGTGTGTGTGTGTGTGTGTGTGTGTGTGTGGTGTGTGAGACACATATATTTATAAACAGTCCCTGCACTAATTACCTATCCCAGGAGAAAGAGTAAACACTATGGTGGGGACCGGGTCTATAGGGAGGGACAGATGAAGCCATCAAGGAAAAGCCTTCCCCCATATCAGGAAGGAGAGTGGCCTGGCTCTGGGCACTGTGACATAGGATGGAATCCAAAGCACTCTCAGCCACATTCTTCCTAACTCTCACCGGGATGCCTCTAAGAAATGCCAATACCCTCCTCCTAGGCTGAGGCCCCTCCCCTCCGCCTCACTCTCACCCCACACGTGGTCTACTTACTCAATGATTTCTAGGAGAAAGCAAAATTCTTGCAATTCTATTGTCTGAGGAAATGTCAAGAACTGACCCAAGAAGTGCTGAGGGGATGGACACGCGGCTCTATCTACCCATCTGTACTGAGACACACGACATGGTGACAGGCAGGCAGACAGATGCACTCCACGTGGCAGGGAAAGCTACAGCTTTCGTCAGAGCTTCTACGGAGTTCGGTGAATGGAACTGAAGTGCTAGGCATTGGAAGGAAAAATCTGTCTGTTTTTTGTTTTGTTTTTAATTGACGTCGTATTGTTTGGAGAATACCACAGAGGACGCCATGTTTCTGCAGGTCTGGAAAGAACACAGCATGGAAAGAACCAGGGAAGAGATTTCTCTCAGGACAGTATCTCCGTAGCAAAACGTCGTCTTCCCCTGGCTGTTTTGAGAGTTGTCATCCGTGAGCAGCCAGCAGGATGGCTGCGTGGGGGGCTCCATGCCATCATGTCTATTTATCATCTTTCTCTCTGATGGCCCTGAATGAATCGCGAGGTTTACACAAATGTTGTACAGGTAGTATCAATCTAGTTCAGGGGAAAAAGTCCCAATCCAACCCTTCCTGCGAGATTATTCTAGTCCTTAATTCTCATGATCCAGTATAAATTATATCTCCAACAATATTTAATTCCCCTCCTGCCTTCTATGTATTAAAAAATTTTTTTACCCCACTATTGTGTTCACCAACCCTCCCCTTTGCTTTCTGTTGGGAAAGTCACTGTGGAGTTTCTCTTCCTGGCTCCTGGTATTGCAGTGGGCTAGACAGAGCCATGTGAGCACACTAGGGGAGGCGGCTTCATGTGTAGGAGTAGTCCACATCAGGGATGCCACCATCCCGGTAACCCCGTGTAGTGCCATAGCCAATAGTGTGGGCGCCCTTGCAGAGGCTGCTGCCGTTGGAGGGGAATATGGTGTGCACCACGTACTCCTCTTTAGAGCGGTATGGGTTGATGGGCAGCATCTGCAGTCCCGGGCCTCGGATTTCCAGAATGGAGTTATCCTTCTTGGTCCCTGACTCCATGTAGTCATCCTTTTTCCTGCTGCCCCTGTTGTAGACCCTCTCTCGGGTTAGCAGCTCACCAGCCCGGTGTACGTACCAGCAGATGGCCCCCAGGACCAGGAAGAGAAAGACAAGAGCTACAGCACCACCAATAATGCCAGCCAGGGGCAGCCCTGCCATAGGACCAGGATTCTGTTCCTGATTGAGCGTGGTGGTAGGGCCATAGCTATCAGCCGTCTCTGCCTTGGCACACACAGGTGTCTCATCAGCCACATAGGTGTTGCCAGTCTCCATGGTGACCATGCAGATTATGTAGGTGGACTTGGGCTCCAGGGCCGTCAGCAAGTACTCTGTCTTGTCCCCCTGTACCAGGGTCTCTGTGATAGAACCCACAGCCGGGCTGTGACCCAGACGCAGCCAACTGAGCCGGAAAGAGGAGGCAGGTAGCATGGCCTTCCATGTGATTCGGATAGAGTCTGCTGTCAGCGGCTTCACCTGGATGACCAATGTCTTGGCACCATCACCAGTGGCCATAGGGTAGTCAATGTTGGAGTCAGGGAGGCGCAGTCCCGGCCTCTTGGCCTTGAGGGTAAACAGAGAGCCCTGGGGCGTTGTGGCAGAGGCATGGTTGCTGGCTGTGGTCTTGGCAGCTGCATTGGCTGCACTGCCCTGTGACCCCGCCTCAAAGCACTCGTCCATCTCGCTGGTGATGTCTTTGATGGCCATGCCCCGGACCTTCTCAGGGCCCTGACACATGAGGCCCCGCACATTGACCACTGCAGCTCGTGCCTTCACCCAGTCCCGCAGCCACATGAGGTTGCAGCCGCAGAACCAGGGGTTGTTCCTGAGAAGCAGCTGTGCCAGGTTCCCCAGGTCATCAAACAGGCCTCGAGGCAATGTGGTGAGATTGTTATTGGACAGGTCCAACCTCTCCAGCTCCCGCATCTTGGCCAGTGTGTTGTAGGGGATGTGGCTTATGGCGTTGTCCTGCAGGTAGAGCTTCTGCAGGTGGGCACTGGGCAGGTTGAGGGGCGGAGCAGCCAGTGAGTTGCGTACCAGCGACAGCTCTGTGAGGTTCTGCAGGCGGCTGAAGGTGTCGTCTGCGATGCGCTGGTTGGCCAGCAGGTTGCCATCCAGAACCAGGCGCCGCAGGCTGTTGAGACCCTTGAATGCATGTAGCGGGATGGTGGAGATGCGGTTGTCATCTAGCCGCAGCTCTTCCAACGTGTGGGGCAGCCCTGATGGGATGCTGCTTAGGTGGTTCCGGCTCAGGAAGAGCAGCTTGAGCTGCTTGCTGTCGGCGAAAGCGTCGTCCTCGATGCTCACGGTGGAGACGGAGTTGTCATCCAGATGCAGCTTCTCCAGCAGCGGGATTCTAGCCAGCGAGTCCCTGGCGATGGTGCGCACATTGTTGTCCTGTAGATGAAGCTCTCGAAGGGAGCGGGGCAGATTGATGGGGAATTCATCCAGGTCATTCTCATACAGGTAGATGACCTGTACTTTGACCTTGGTCTTGAGATCCTGAGGGATGCCTGCATTGTTGATCTGGTTGTTCTGCAGGTAGAGGGTAGTGGCATCATCAGGGATGTCTGAGGGGATGGATGTGAGTCCCCGGTCGTTGCAGTAGATGAAGCCATTGTCGCAGCGGCACACTGACGGGCAGGTGGTGCTGTCAATGACCTCCGTGAGGAAGGCAATGAGCCCATAGCAGAGAAACAGCCAGTCCCGCAGGTCCATGGTGGCCGTGGTCATCACGACAGTGGCTGTGACGGTGGCAGCAGGTGTGGTGGTAGTGGTGGCAGTAGGGTGTGCCACCACCATGGTGGATAGCTGGTGGAGGCCTGACCCACCAAACCTGGAGCCTCAGTACCTGCAAGGAGCACAAGATAGGTGTGCTGAGTTCAAGACAGTGATAGAGCCTGGGGGGGGGGGGGCGTTAAAGTTGAGTCCTGCAGGGCTGAGGCCAGGCGGCAAGGGAGGCCTGTTTTATGCCAATCTGGAGAAAGGTAAGCTCCCTGGCCAGGGTGACTCTAATGACTGATGTTCACTGTGAATCTCATCAGGACGGTCTGGTCCTTGAGAGAAGCCAACACCCTAGGGCATTTAGTGTGTGCTGTTGCAGCCTGGGCTAAATCTCAAGATAAGGCAGTCACCTTTAAGGGTCTCACAAATGGGGCCGGCCAGTGGAATAGATTTCATGGATGAGCCGTCATTCCCACAGGATTGGGACAGGCCTAATTCTGGCATGAACACAGGGTCTGAAGAAAAAAATCTTGTTTCTGGGAGTCTGTGAGCTCAAGAGGCATGTCGCCAGAACCTTTAGGAAAGATGCAGCCAGCATTGTCACTGGTGAGCAGTGGAGAGTATTGAGCTCATTGTCTGGTAGTGAAACACTATGTCCTGTTCGACACCCATGTGTTTCATATATAGAAGAATAAGGTGTCAACAGATCTGTCTTTTCTGGGGCATTATTCCACACCTAGTCTCTCCCCAGCTGAAGTCACAGGGCACACACACATGTGCACACACATACACACACACACTTACTCACTCACACATCAGCTTTAGTGTTTTAAAGAAATGAGGCAAATAAAGGAGGGAGGTGTTGTCTGCATGCTGAGGAAATTTTTCTGCAAGGTGTAATTTCAGTTTTTGCAAATAGAAAAATTGCAGCATAGAGTTTTCTCATTATTTTACTGTTCACAGTGGTAAAAAATCAATTAAAGAGAAATTATCTTTCAATCTCAGTAAAAAAGGGTGTCTTCATACAGCCAGCAAAGGTCTGCAGTAAAACTCAGGTCAAGGAGGCTTTCAGGGCAGAATGTGATGGTTTCTCAGACCTGACTGGAGGTCCTGGCCTGGGAGGACAGCTCTGGAGTGTGGAGCATGACCCACTCCTGCTGAGTGACCAGTGGGGACCTCACCAGGGTGCTCTAGGAACCAGGTGTCTCCATTTGTCAACACTCCACACCCTTCTCACCCGTCTCTCTGTTCCTGGTAGCTTCTCTCTATCCAGTGACCTCCCCCTCGCCCTTCAGGACACTGTGAAAACATTCCAGCCTCTACTAGGTCTTCCAGATGGCCTCCACTCTGCTGTCCTCTCTGCCATGCATCACTTTGTCCAATCCATCCATCTCTCTACTCACTCACTCGTCCAGCCTGCCTGGCCCACAGGACCATGACTTACTTGCCTTGCCTCCACAGTTCCTCAGGCTTTGGCCTTCCCTGCACACTGAGCCCTCTGTCCCACCCTCTCCCTTGCCCTGTGGTTCATGGTGGTCTCATCTCCTTGGTAGTCCTCAACATCAAGCTGGTCGTACTGAGGCTCCCTGGACGACCCCTCTCCCCTTTTTACCTCTCTCACTCAATGTCTTCAGTGTTCCCTAGCCTGTCTCCCCCACTCACCTGTCCAAACTCCTTCACCATCCCAGTGGCTGCCAAAGCCAGGCAGCAGACACTGTGACATTTTGTATTGTATCCTGTTCCCTGTGAAGGAAGCAGCTGGACCCACCTTGCTGCCCCAAGACATACTTCCCTCTTCTCAGAGCTGATCCTCAGAGTCACAGGTGAGGCCTTACCCCGGGTCACCTCAAAAAAATCATCACCCCAGAATATGCCTTCTCTCTGCTCAGTGTTTACAAACTCATCACCATTAGCATATGCTTTACTTTAGGGCTTTGGGGTATCTTAGCCATTAGGTTGTAGCCTAGTAGTTGGTACACAGCAGGACCTATCAAGTATTTCTACAAAGAAATTGGTACTGACCCATTCTGAAGAAGCAGGGGCGCAGCCCTGCCGACAGGATGTGCTTCCAGGCGTAGAATCTCATTGCATCACTCCCACACCCTGCTGAGACCGAGGCCCGGCCAGCCTGGGCCTTACCATGGGCTGGGGCTAAGGCTCTCTTGTCCTCACCAGACTCGTGTTGTTGTGTGTGTGGTACGGGCATCCCAGGCCTGACCTAATCCTCTTGTCGCTCAATACCTTGGGATCCATGCAGCACACCCTCAATGTGTTCCTGTGTCTGACAGTACAGAGAGGCGAGGGGCCCTCTGCCATTCCAAGGTCACAGACACCCAGACTTCCAGCTGCACACCTGTCTCCTCTGAAAGGAGCCTGAAGGTCCCATCACAAGTCACTTTGTGAACTGGAGTGGGACGGGACAAGGCTGGAGACAGAGGGCTTTGGGTTGTTCCTAGGCTGCCTCACTTTGTCTCTGGGGTTGTAGCCCAGCACCTCTGCCTGAGCCCGAGTCTGGCCAGAAGATACACCTGCTCCTGGCCAGCTGATGAGTTCTGTCTTGAGGGACACAAGTAGCCTCTGCCCTGGGCCGTTGTGGGCCAGTACCCTGAGCAGGGCCAGACTCGTTAAGGCCAAAGCCAAGGCTGCCACCACAGTCTCTGGCATGGACATCTGTTCTCCTCCCGTTTAGCTCATGGCCATAGTCCCCAGACTCCTGAGACTCTGCATCATAATAGAGTCTAAATTGCACCTCTCAGAGATGTTTGATGGATAACGGAGCAGCAGTGGGAGGCAGGTACCCAAGGCCTTTCCACTCCCCTATCTGCTGCCCATCCATCTTGCCCAAATGTCCCTGGCCACCCTGCTTCCCCAAGGCCAACTCCAGTCTCAGGCCCTGGAGCTTCGGGAACAGGACAGACTGGACTGGGAGGGAGACTGCACCCTCTCTAGAGGAGCCCTTAAACTGCCTGGGCGCCTGTTGGCCTTTTCACTCCCTTTTGTGTTTGATAGTTTACGTGGCCATCAAATTAGCCCTGGTAAATTGCCCATCTTTTACAGGATCACTGGTCGTCATTGTGGGGATCACACAGACGAGTGTGGGACGGGTTACAACCTGCCAGTTGTGTGACAGGCAGCAGGGTCTGGATGCCCCACTGGAGGGGTGCAGACAGACAGTTCAGGCTGGTGACCTCCCTTAGCTGAGGGGGACGAGAGGGGCCTGGGGTAGTCACTAGCTTCTGCCAATGGCCAGGACAGAGTACAGTGGGCTCAAGTGTGTCTGTACCACTTCCAAGAGGTGCGATTTAAGTAGGCTCTATGTAGGCAAGCTGTGTTCCTGATGCCAAAGGCCCTGTGGCCACAGCCCAGTCTTTCTGGGGACACCGGCTCAGGCCTTGTGGCTGCCGTAGAACTTAGTGATGCTATTTTCTATTTTCGGAGTTCATCCCAGGCACTTCCCAAAGCCAGCAAGGGAATAAAATGTCATATGCCGTAATCTACTGACCCAAGCCTTGCTGTGCTTCTCCCCACCCCCATCGTCGGGGTAGGGGATTTGGCCCCAGACAGAGCTATTAGAAAGGGGTGTGACCTGTGATCATAGCATGCCTATGGAGAGGGCAAATACGTGTACTCATATGGACATCAGTTTCCTGAAGCTGAACAATGGAGACTGCCCTTGTGAACCACAAATCTTCCAGTTCCCCTTCCTCCGTCCCCAAATTGGGGCCTCTGGTGGTGTCTTTTCCCCTCCTGGAATTCACTGTGATTTTCCTAAATCTTCTGAGGCTTCCAGGTCCTTCTAAAAGGCTGAGCCTGATGCTGAGGCAGATAAAGCTAGAAGCAGCATTCAGGCCCAGGAGGGAGAAGGCTGAGAGGCCCCAGCCCACAAGGTGCAGTGATTGGCACTTACCCTGCCCTGCCCTGCCCTGCCCTGCTGGGGTTGCCTCTATCTCTGTCAAAAACTAATGAGGGTCCCTCAGTTTCTCATCCCATCCAATAGTTGGCAGCTACTTCTGAGGCTTAGCTACAAACAAGACTGAGGGAGGAGGCCTCAGGGAGGTCTCCCAGGCAGCCCCGATTCTAGGAAGACTAGCCTTCTTCTCTCAGTCAAGACTATGTAGAGGGGCAGGTCTCAGGGCTTCATCTGTGAAATGGGACCAAGTCTACTTCCTTGGCTTCTTGTGAGGATGAAACAAGCTGCTTTCAGCTTGGCTGAGCACTCCTTGGTCATAGAGAGAGACCGGTCACTTCATTAGCTCCATTACTTCACTGGCACAGACACAAGTTATAGATGAGGTTCAGGAGCTTGTTCGAGCAGATGCCATGGGAGCACATCCTGCATACCCTGACTCTAGTACTTTCTAGTCTTGGCTACTCTGGGGTGCCAGCCAGTCTCACCCCTCACCTCCAACAGCTTAGCCCCCACCCCCACCCCCGTCCTTGTCCAGTGGTAGCACTAAGCATTTGTAATACCTAGAGAGTTGGGGGCGGGGATTCTTTTCAAATCTAGAGTTAATTATTTTTCTAATTTCATGCCGCATGCATTATGTATCAGCTGTTATCACCGGCAGTAATTGCAGACAGGTATGCAAATCCACCAGAAATGAACTGGGAGTTCACCTAAGCGCATGGGCAGCTGGGTGGGGCTGGGCAGCAGGATGTCCTCCTCAGCCCCAGAGAAAGTGAATCGCTTTTAAAAAAACAAGACTTTCAAATTGTGTCTTAGGAGGTTAATTATATCGATAGCAGCGTTCGATATTAAACTATGCGGGGCCAGGAAGGGGGAGGGAGATGAAAGGAGACACATGTAATTTTGTTTCTCTCTCTCAGCATCTCTTAATGAAATGGTCCTCCACCTGATACTGCCGCTTGGGTCCCTTTGGAGTAAAGTTGTTCCCATTGAGACGTAATTCCTTCGGGGAAAAGGAAAAAAGGCATATTTAATGCCAGTGGGAGGGAGAATGAAGAGAAGGGACCGTGCCAACAGGGCAAGTGACAGTCCTCAAGACCAGGGCTGATCTTTGCTGCTGAGCTCCTTGGTTACCTGCAGGAGCCTGGACAGCTGTGGGGAGAGAGAGGAGCAGGTGTGTAGGAAGTACTGAGCAGAATGAAAGCCAGGCAGGCAGAGGCTGGGGCCTCTCAGAAGCAGGGAACCAACTGGCCCTGCTCCGAATGAGTTTTCCTATTTGTAACCTCCAGTTTCCTGGACATCCCTTACGTGTCTGGCTCTTCCCACTGGACCTAAACTTCTGCTTCTAAGGTGTGGTCTGTCCTGTCCCCAGCAATGAGCCTGGACAAAGAGGCCCTGTAAACATATTTTGTGTCTGTGTGTATCTGAGGGTGGGAGGTTGCCATGGGATGTATTTATCGCTCTCCACCTTATCTTTAAGACCAGTCTCTCACAGAATTCAGAGCTACTGACTGGCTAGGCTGGCCATCCGGGGATCTCTGGAGACCCACCTGTCTCTACCCTCACCTCCAGTGCTAGGGCTACAGACGTGCACCCCCATGCCTGGCTTTTATTGGGTCCTGGGGATATAAACCCTGGCCCTTTACTAATGGGGCTATCTGCCTAGTCCATGTATTGAATAACCCAGGCAGGGTCTACAGATCTAGGCAGCTAGAGAAAAGAGGGAGGTGGAGTCTTGCCATCAGCACCACCCCAGAGGCCATGATGACCTGGGTGTCTTCATTATAGCAGGCCTGGGAGACAAAAACTCCCGTCAGAACTATGAAGAGCTGGCCACCCACCCAGGCCTCAGACTTGCTGCCCAGAACTCTTCAAATTCAGCTGCTCTGGAGAAACAGGCCCAAGAAGGCCTGGCTGTGCCCCAACTTGGTGGCCAGCTTGGCACTGTCTAGCTATAGGCACATCTCCACAAGTGCCCGTGCCATGAATGGATGCAAGAGTAGAAAACCAACAGACCCCTGGGAGTGGGAGGAAGAGGAAGCCATCTATCTGACTTTTGCAGATGCCCAGGAGGTAGGCTCAGTGACAGAGCCTTCCATCGGTCTCTCTGAGGTATGAACTCTCAAACTCTTCCCCACAGGTTTGTAAGAGCAAGTGATGGGACAGGCCCCAGCTCACTAGCGCCTCTCGCCAGCCACCAGTCTGTGGGCTCTTAAGCGTCTGGGGGTAGGTGTGGATGTCGGTGGTGGTGCACACCTTTAATCCCAGCTCTCGGGAGGCAGAGACAGGTGGATCTCTGTGAGTTCGAGGCCAGCCTGATCTACAAAGTGAGTTTCAGGATAACCAGGACTGTTTCACAAAGAAACCTTGTCTTGGAAAACAACACACACACACACACACACACACACACAGAGAGAGAGAGAGAGACAGACAGACAGACAGACAGAGAGAGAGAGAGAGAGAGAGAGAGAGAGAGAGAGAGTGTGTGTGTGTGTGTGTGTGTGTGTGTGTCCCTGTCCAGGGGTCTCTTAGGAGTAGCTGGCCTTGTTTCTTTCCAGCTATAGCTCATGTGTACAGAAGAGAGGAACACTCAAGAAGGGGACCTGCCCTAGTTTATATCACTGTTAGCAGAACTCCCATCCCAACCCCCCACACCTGTCCCCCACCCCAGGCACCTCTGCCCCCAAAGCCCAGTGTGTTCCTTTCTGTTTCTCCACCTGTGGATACTGTGAGGCTGCATACAACTAGCTGAGCCAGATTTACCACCAGCACTTTGAGCAACAGGGTTGCTGGGAGGTGGCTGCTGCTCCCCTCTGCCTTGACTGGCTCCAGGAATTATCCCCTAGCTCCTCCTAGGGGCTGGGAGGAAGCTGAAGATTCAGAGAGGAGAACCATAGGCAGGCGGGGCCAAGCTGTCTGCTTGAGGCCCTGCTGCTAGGTTGTCGTGCCTTTATAATAAATAACAGTAAATAGCCCATCCGCAGGGCATCCTTCACGCCAGTGGCTAATAACACGGCTATTAATGCCCCTGCAGACGGCGTGCGCAGCGCACGGCTCTGACGGATGTCCCAAGCCCTGGTGCAGCCATAAATCAGCCCCTCTCCTGGGGCAGAGCATGGGGAAGTGTCATTTTCCATCTTGGTAATGAATTGGGGCTTCCCTGCCCTGCCCAGGGCTCTGAGAGGTTCTGAGGTTGCTGGGATTACTGTTTGCAGAGGTCCTGCCCCTCCCATCTTCACCCTCGGGAGCCCAGGAGGACCCGGTCCAGCCAGCCACCTGCTGTGTAGCCTGGGGCACTCACTCAACTTCTCTGGACCTGTCTTTTCCCTCTAGCCAACAAAAGGGCTACACTGGAGGCCAGTGCGGATGATGCTGGGCGGTGGCGCCAGATCATTGCCACTGTGGATCTCTCTGATCACAGCGGGGCAAGTCCAGACGGAAGACAGCTTGGGATTCTTGCTATTTAAGGGTAGCAGGTGTCAAGGCTGATGGCCTTGGTCCCCTAAGTTCTTGCCTAACCCATCACAAGGCCTCATGGTTGTTCCGTTTTACACAGAGAAGATGGACAGCAGTCCCAGCGGAGAGACACCCAGGAGGAGGAAACCGTCTGTGCTGTGGCTACTCCAGCAGAGGCCTCCTGTTTGGGGGCATCAGAGGGCAGGACTCAGTTGTCCCTCCCATGCACTGTATTCCCCCCAGGTGGAAAGACTGGTGTCACCTTTCTGAGCCACCAGGAACCCTTCCTCATCCCGTGCCTCAGCTCTTACCTCTTCAGCTGCTGCTCCCTGGAGGGACTGGGCCCCACTGCGGTCACTGCTTCGGAGTTCCAGGCCACGCTCACATTCCTGGCCCCATGTCACCAACAGACCCAGAACCACTCAATCACAGACTGCAGCTCCAGCAGCCGGAACAGTGAGGCTCACAGAGAGTAAGGAGGTCTTGAAGTCTCCCTTGTGGCTAGGCCTCAGACATGGCTGCAGGCCCCAAGCGGCATCTTTGGCACCGCTGGCTTGGCTCTCTGGAGTGAGGGGTGTGTGTTCTGTGTGCACCCCCGGGGACTCCTGAGCAGGGCATGCCCTACGGCCCAGTGTCAGTCCCCGGGGACTGTGGCCTCTCACTGGCCGCCACTTCCACTGCGGCTCTTTGTAACTTTGGTCTGTTGTCCACAGGCTGCGACTCTTCTGAAATGCCTCTGTGGGGGCTGCTACCTCTTTTTCTTTACCAAGGCTTTTTTCCCCCTTTTCTTTTTTCTTTTTAAAATCCCTTTAAGTCACTTGGCAGAATGGCTCAGTGCAGAGAGCGCTCTTGCGTGACAGAGCTGAGAGGGAGCCACTCTCCAAAGAATCAGTGCTCCTGCCACTCAGGCCACAGCTGTGGGGGGGGGCGTTACCCCTCTGAGGAGTTCAGATGTTCACCACAGGCTGCAGCTCCCCGACTCGCACTGCTGAGCTGTCAGGCCTGTGTGCCCCGCTTGGGGAAGCCACGATGGGGGGCAGGGGCTCGCCTGCCTGGCTGCTCCTGTTTGTAGAGAAGCTTCTGGAGTGGGTGAGGCAGAGGGTGGTTATTTATCCCGGCTTCAGCCTCTGGGCGCAGCTGTCTACGGCGGGCGGGGCCTTTCTCGCCTGTCTGGTGCTTCTTCACCTGCCAAAGGCAACACAAGCAATCAGACCTAAGGAGTCAGGAGCTCCAGGGACAAGTACCACAGGCAGCCATAGCCATAGCGCCGTTGTTCTCATCACTTCCCAGTCTCTGGGCTTGTGTGTTTCCAAGACAGGGTTTCTCTGTGTAAACCTGGCTATCCTGAAACTACCTCTGTAGACCAGGCCAGTCTCAAACTCGGAAATTCATCCGCCTCTACCTCCTGAGTGTTTGGATTAAAGGCGTTTACTGCCGCCACCTGGCTTTTTCTTTTTCTTTTTGAGACAGGGTGTCACTGTGTAACCCTGGCTAGCCTGGAATGTGCTACATAGACCAGGGTAGCCGCACACTCACAGAGATCTCCACATACAGTTTTGGCTTGCAGTACATGAGATCAAACCAGGGCTTGGCATGCTAGGCAAGCGCTCTACTGCTAAGCCCCACCCCTGGATCGCCTGTCTCGAACAAAAACCACTTCCCTCTAAGCCTGGCAAGGTTATCACCCTCACCACTTAACACTTTTTAAACCCAGGTAATATGCAGAACCCTTCCTTGTAACTACCTGCAAGGACTGGGCAGAGAAAAATGAAGTTTGGAGGCTCAGTAACACCTAGCACCAAGCCTGAAGACCTGAGCTCAATCCCTGGGACCCACACGGTAGAAGGATAGAACTAACTCTCACAAACTGTTCTCTGACCACACACACAAGAACTAACTCTCACAAACTATTCTCTGACCACACACACAAGAACTAACTCTCACAAACTGTTCTCTGACCACACACACAAGAACTAACTCTCACAAACTGTTCTCTGACCACACACACAAGAACTAACTCTCACAAACTGTTCTCTGACCACACACACAAGAACTAACTCTCACAAACTGTTCTCTGACCACACACACAAGAACTAACTCTCACAAACTGTTCTCTGACCACACACACAAGAACTAACTCTCACAAACTATTCTCTGACCACACACACAAGAACTAACTCTCACAAACTGTTCTCTGACCACACACACAAGAACTAACTCTCACAAACTGTTCTCTGACCACGCACACAAAGTAAATAAATAAGTGTAATAATAAGTTTGGGAGTTCCTGGCCTTGCAGAACCATGCACCGAGCCTAGAAGTGTCTCCATTTCTCCAGCTCATGCTTCTCTTAATGTCATTGAAGGCTCCAACTGGGCCATCCCAGCCTTGACTTCCAGAACAATTCAACTTCTCTGGCTCACCAGGGGTCCATGAAGCTGAGTTTCCAATGTCCCTAACTTCCCTCCTTCAGCTGTCTGTCTCCTGTGGGGCCAGCCTCCCACACCCTGCTGCCCTTCCTGCTGTAGAGACCTGGGTGCCACAGGTTGCCCCTAGGAATACAAAACAAAACAAAGCTGTCCCTCCCTCTCATAAAGCAGCCAGCAAGGTGCCTCTCTTTGGAAAGGAGCTCTAAGGACACATCTGAGAGCATAGGCTCTGGTTAGGCTCAGCGGCATCTAGTTTCCTTTGCAGGACAAAAGGTGGCTGGTTCAAGTCCTGCTCAGTGCCTGCAGCCGGCATATCTAGGGTGCATATTAATAAGTCCATGATCCAAACAGAGATGACTGTCCATGGCTGCATCCCACAGAGACCACAGGAAACACACTGGGAAGAATAAATTGTGTGGTCAGTATATGAAGGAATAATGGGGTAAGAGACACTCTCAGTGACCTCTCCTAGGATGCCAGACAGCTACTCAGAATAGCCAGGGCCAGGCAGGGCTGCAGGTACCAAGAGGCAGGTGCGCACAGTCCCAGGCAGGCACAGGGTGAGGCTGGACAGAAGGGACAATAATCCTGTTCCTGCAGAGGGGGCAGTGGCAGCTGTAGCCTAAGCCATTATTGCTATTACCACTCGTGTGATTTTATCCAATTATAAACTGTAATTCCTCTATGAAAGCGAGAGATGGAAAGAGTCCAGTGAGGTCATCTGCCTTCCTGGATAGGCCAAGGAAATTGCTTTATACTGCTTGGGGTGGGAGCAGACAGCTAGACCACCACCACCACCACCACACACACACACACACACACACACACACACACACACACACACACACACACACACACGATAGGAGCTGTGTCCTTCCTTGGAGCCTGGAACCCTAACTGCCTCTGCACGACATACACAAACCAGGGTTCTGCTTTTGAAGTCACAGGCCCAGGAAGAAGGCAGATTCATCCCATTGGCTGTGTGCTCGAGTCAGGCCATGCACACAGTAGGTGTTTGATAAGTGCACCCATCAGACTCCTCATTCTACTTCCTCACTGGGAAAGCCAAGTCTGAGTGAGGCTCTCCTGGCCTTTCTTGTTGCCCCGCCATTTCTCTGCTTCCTGAAAGCCTCACGGGGATGCCTGGCATGTGGACAGGAGGTTCCTTTCTGAAGGGCCTCTCAGGTATCCAAGACATGTACTGGCTTTCCGAGACGGTCTGGCAGTGTGAGCCCTGGGTAGTACTGTGGCTCTTCCCACTTGTGGGTGCTCAATGACGGCCACTGGAAGCCACCTGCTGCCACGTCACCAAAGGCATGTAACCTGGAAGAGATACGTAAGTGTGCCCACTGGCAAACACCTGCCCCAGAGGCCGGCTAGACTGAAAGAAGCCATGCCCCTGCAGTTACCGTCTATGCTGTCACGTGCGCCAACCAAGGAACCTGTTGGGCCCTAAGGGGCCAGGAACGGGGGCCCTCCTTAGCCCCATAGGGCAGCTCAGCTGAGCCCCTCTCTCCTGTACCTTCTCTGTGTCCACGCTCTGGTCTAGTCTCTGTACCAGGAAACCTTTTCTTTTTTGGGTCTATTGAGGAAAAGTTTCCATCTATCATCTTTGTCACACATGGTTTCTTTTGTTACCAAAAACTCTAGTGCAAGTATTGGCAAGAGAAAGAAAACAACCATCTACCTCTACAATCCATCAACCTCTACCACGCACTGGGTCCCCAGCTCCATGCTTCCTTTGCATTTTGGTCTGATGGGCCTGTTTATACCATCATCTTGCAGAGAGCCATGTCCCTATGTCCTTTCCTGGTGTCTCTGTGTCGCCATCTCCCTTAAGCCTGGGTCAGGCTCGAGGGTCAGGGAGAGACAGCCCATAACACAGGCTGAAAAGATGGGGAAGGGCTTTACAAAAGTACTCAATCTGCAGGAGAGCCAGGGCTCCAAATTCTAGCCCAGTTTCCTTCTTCCCAGACCATGCCAAGACCCAGTGAAGCAGGCACTGTGCCACTGGGCAAACGTAGCACCTCCAGGCCCTGGGTTCCTCCCAAGATCATCATCTTTTTTTTTTAAGATTTTTTATTTATTATGTATACAGTGTTCTGTCTGCATGCATGCCTACAGGCCAGATGAGGGCATCAGATCTCATTATAGACGGTTGCAAGCCCTATGTGCTGGTGTGGGTGCTGGGATTTGAACCCGGGTCCTCTGGAAGAGCAGTCAGTGCTCTTAACCGCTGAGCCATCTCTCCAGCCCCCGCTCCTGAGATCTTCTTATACCTTCAACCTCTCCATTTTTTCCATCTATCCCTTTCCATCTCCTTCCCACCCATCCATCCTTCCAACTGTCCAACCGTCTGTCCTCCATCTCATCTGCCCACCTACCTACCTACCCACCCACCTACCCATCCACCCACCCCCCCGCCCGCCCGCCCGCCCATCCACCCATCCACCCATCCACCCATCCACCCACCCACTTTCCTTCCATCCATCTCTTTGACCCTATAACCCATTCAACCATTCATCTCTCTCACCTAGCACTCAGTCCAGTCATGCTCTAGACACTATATAGTACATTGGGGACCAGAGGAGCCCAGTTCTATAGAAAGTTTCAGCCTTGTGGGGAAGTTGGTAGCTAGAAGATACTACAATGTGAAACATACATCAGGCCCAGCCTAGGGGGAAAGGGGTGAGTTCTGGGGTGGGGTGGGGGCACTGTCGTATAATCATGGCATCCTCCAGGCTCCCCGACAGTCACACGAGAACTTGGTGGCAGTGCAGCCCACTTCAGTCCCTCAGCTTACTGCCCAATTTGACGGGTCTTTAGCTTTACTGTTCATGCTGCCTTCCAGATCTACGCTTGCTGATATTAATTCCTGTATCAGCAATTAGCCCGCCTGTTTTACTTCAACCTCTGGCTCTTCGGGATGGAGTTTCATGTGAATGGTATTAATCAGGTGCCTGGTGTGCGCTGTGAAACCCAGGTGGGCTCTGTGGCTAGCCATTTAGCCAATCACATTTGAAATGAAAACACGTTGCCCCCTCCTTGGGTAGAGCTGCCCTGTAGCTCGGAGGGCAGAGTTCCCATCACAGCCAGCAGGCTAGAGATGGAGTGAGCTGGGCTAGTGGGATTTGCTTTTCGTTCGGACTACAGGCTGTAGGCAACATCTGTACCCTACTTTCCTAGAGGAAGAGGCTGTGATCAAACAGACTTTGTTTGGAGGCTGCTCACTGCACCCGAGGATGACCAGACACAGGGCCTCTCCTTTCTCCTTCGGCCCCGAGGGGGGTCCCTCCTCTTGTGCTGCTGGAGTCACCACAGTGATGGGGCAGAGTGACAAGGGCAGAGGGCTGCAGCTAGGGTCATAGGCCAGGACAGGGACTCACTGCTCTTAGACAAGGTGGGCACAGTCGAGAATTGGGTTGAAGAGCACTTGAGGCAGAGGGAACAGCATGGGCAATGGTGCAGGGTGTGAGGACTTGCCCCCTCAGAGAGCTGAGTGCAGAGCTCTGGGACAATGGAAAGCTGGGACTGAAGCTGGGGCAGGGGCTGGGAACTGGCCTTGGGAGAACCTCCACCAGTGTGCTGAAGGGACTGGTCTTCATACCAAGAGCGACAGGCAGCCTGTCCAGGCGGGGAAAAACAGGACCTGACTTGCAACTTGGGCATCATTCTCTCCCGTGTGGAGAGCTGGAGATACTACAAGTAAGGGGACTGGGCTGGGGACAGCAAGCAGCGGGGTCACAGGGAAGGAGC